CATACATACATCCATACATGCATACTGTACATACATAAATACATAATGTAGGTGCCTTCATTGTCAGAATAGGATCTTGGGTCCCTTACATTATAATTGTGTTAAGGAATCCCCACAGTAGTATTGTTACTTATTTAGGAAACCCTGAACCCTAAACCCTATAGACCCGAAACCCTAAGCCCGATATTGGTTCTCGCCTGGCTCCCTTTTTGGGTCCCCAATATAGTACGGCACCCTTATAAAAAGGACCCTAGAAGGGACCCTGATTTAGAGAACTACCAAATTAAGGGAACCCTAAACCCTAAACCCTAAACCCTAAAAGGGACCCTAATTTAGAGAACTACCCTTAAAGTCGGCATGCTCCTCGCGTTCTTCCGGCCGGCGGTTCGGCATGGCCAGGGCATGGCTCAATGCCGATGCCTCCGGGTTTAGGGATGAGGGTTTGGGGTTTAGGGTTTAGGGTTTAGGGTGTAGGGTTTATAGGGTTTAGGGTTTAGGGTTTAGGGTTTAGGGATGAGGGTTCAGGGTTTAGGATTTAGGGTTTAGGGTTTAGGGTACTACTGGGGCATATGGGAAGGGGTACAGATGGACAGAGGACGCACGAAGAACTTCGAGACACCGCTGGAATGTCAGTGTAACGGGAGACTGTGGTGTTTTCCCACACATCGGACATAGGAAATTGAACAAGCACGGTTAATGCACACGGCACACGTCGACAGTGCAGGGAAGAAGCTCCAGACGCTGATTACCCAGTACGTCAAGCCTCGACCCTAGAAGCCCTACGCTAAACCCTAAACCCCAAACCCTGCACCCCTAAACCCTAAACCCTAAACCCCTAAACCCTAAACCCCAAACCCTAAACCTAAATCCTAAACCCCAAGCCCTAAACCTCACAACCCAAATCCCGATACCCCAACCCCTCCACGCCTCACGCCACGACTGACAAAGTCACAAGACAAATCCCGACTGTCTCCGCCGCATCGCGAATGCCTGGGCCCTGAAGCCTTTTAGGGGTTTTAGAGTTCAGAGCTTAGGGTTTAAGGTTTAGGGTTTAGGGCTTTGTGTTTGAGGCTGTGGGTCTTGGATTTGGGGTTTTGGATTTGGGGTTTTGGGATATTTGAAAGAGACCTGAATAAACGAACCCTTATAGAGCACTTGAAGGAGAAGCAACCCACACAGAACCTCATTACACATGTGTCAGACACCAAAAGAAAAGGTTTCTAAACTTAAACCCTAAACCCTGGCCCCCTAAACCC